CATCCCAGTACACTGTGCCCTAGGAGTGATTGAAGATTAAAATATATGGCCCAGAGTTTAGCTTTAGTGGACGCTGCTCTGAAGTGAATCTCCCATAAGAAACTCTTTTGTTTATGTTGCATTGCCCTTGAAATGTACCTAAAAATACAGTTCTATACATAAGTGATAGAGAAGATTTTGAACATTGGGCTATACACTGATTTCATTTGCATGTGATTTTGATTTATTAATTTTTTTCCAAGTCTGGGCTTATTAATGTCAGCTATATATCTGAATTGTTTCATTGTCTTTATATCAAATGGTAATTGCAAACTGGTAATGTATCAGCCTTATGAACTATACCATGATTCTCTGCTCACAGAAAATACTTCAAATTAATCCCTTAATAACAGTAATTAGGACCAGAATTTCCATTGCTAAGCGATGCAGTTGTAAGGACAGCAATTCCCACAGTCAACATTGTTGTCCTTAAGTGAGGATTATGGATTGTTAAGTGAGGACCTCCTTGCAACTTTCTGCTCTTCTTCCAACAAGCAAAGTCAATGGGGAAGCTGGCAGAAAGTTCTAAGTCTGGCAGGCAGTGGATTGGTAAAATGGCATCACGCAAGAACAACCAGCCAGATGTGCACAGCTGAATGCGGGAAGAGGGTGCTGCAGGTAGGTATGCACATTGAAGTATGAGGCCAGGCTTCTCAGGAAAAAAAGTGGTAGGAGTAGGGATGACTTAAAGGACCGACTTCTGACTTCTCTTGCTGGTTTTTATGTTGACTTTGCTTCTGAAAAGACAGCAGGGAAGGTTGGGGAATCACATGACCATGGTCCCTGGAACTGTCATAAGTGTGAACCAGTTGCCAAGTGCCCAGATCATGATCACATGACCACAGGGGTACTGAAACAGCTGAACTTTGAGAATCATAAGTAACACTTGCTCAGAGCCATTGTCACTTCAAACCATCATTAACCAAGGACTATCTGTAATTCATAGCCCAGAATAAATTCAACTAGAAGGATGACAAGTGAAGTAAAGTTACCTCCCCCCAAATGAAACACGATGTTTATATTCTGAACTTTGTCTTTTCATTTGTTTTGAAAAGCAAAAACTAGTTGCATGTAGCAGAAGAAATATACACCTAATTATATTCTTTAGCATGAACATCTCTAAATTAAACATGTCTCATTCAGAAAGCAAGTACTGCTTGCACAGAAGAACTATAGAAATTCAGGTTCATTAATTCAGAGATATTCACTTGCTTCAATGCATGCATCATTTTTCATTACATGAGGGTATTCCTACCAAACAGTTTATGTTGTGAACTGTGATGGTACTGATCACTAATTGAACAATTCCTGGATTTAGTCATCCATCTGGCAAACCAAGAGCAGGAAAGATCCTGGCATATTTATTTGAAAAGATATAAGATACTGGCATTAGATTTTTGATCGGGAACATGGAAAGTTGCTGCTAATTTCAACAAATGTGAGATATTGAGGGGAAGCTGGGAAAAAATTGGAAGAGCAGACATAAACAATCAGTAAATCAATTGGAAACCTCCCACCACTATAGAAACCTGAATCTTTCACTTCCCCCATCCCATCTTCAGCCACTGACTTTCCAAAACATTAGAAATTTTGACCCTCTAGAGCCGGGGTGTCAAACTGCCGGTGTCAACACTGCTAGCATTGGATGTTCCCACTCTGACAATTGATGAAAATGCAGCCATTTTCTCTTCTCCTTTAACATGCTTTCTTGCTTTTAGGAATTAGGTACAGCAGGGGGGGGGGTTGGGTTGAAAGCTCAGCTAGCCATAATAATAATGCTGCCGTGGGAACCCAAGGACAAGCTGATAACATTTTGGCAGGCTGAGGAGTTGAAGAAAAAGCCCACACTTTAAGCTAATTGCGGAATGTGCTTTATGACAGTTTATTGGGGGTGGGAATTGCACTTTGCTACTTTGTATCGGGGGAAGGGAATTTAGTTTTTGGGTTCAACTATATAGTGCCGATACTTTGTTTCCCGAATAAAATGTTCTTTAAGGAAGAATTTTGCCTCGAAGTTCTTTTGATGGGTTTCATCTATCAGAACCATGACAGCCGGCCCACAGGCCGGATGTATCATGGCGAAACCATGCCCACCGCATTGCCAGTAATGGAAAAAAAGTCGTGATATGTCACGATATGTCACGTGACATTGCGAGTTTGACATCCCTGCTCTAGAGAATTTGAGACTACAGACTGGGTTGAGGAGACATAGTTCTTTGCTCTTTTCTACAATATTCTTATATTGTGGACATATTAATGTGTCACTTTTCTAACACCCAAGATATAACCCTGTTTTGACTGTCCATTTTTTATTTAACGATTTCTGGTGGCCTCACATGCAGATGGATTCTTAGGACTGTGTTTCTTTTTATCATGCCTATTGTCAAGGCAAGACTGTTGTGGCAAAACAGATTGAGCCCCTTCCATCTTAGGCTGGACCTTGGGATAAAATCTTATGGGATTTTATTACTCATCTGTCTGACTTGATGGTGATTGATCTGTTTACTAAGATGGATCAATTACTACCTGTATGTGACTACTCTCTGCATGAGAAGCTGTCAAGCTCTTTTTAGTCAATGTCTTTCATTATAGGTATCTGATCAATCATATGATCTTGGATCATTGAGCCCAATTTATATTTCTTTTCTGGAAATCTTTCTAGTTTTTTCATATGCAAATTCATTTATCATCCACCAATCCCCTGAAGACAGATAGGGAGACAGAGAAAACCAACACAACCCTTTACCAATACTTACACTGCTGTGTCTTGTATCAACAGGTCAATTGGCTAGACTTTGTGCCCAGAATTTGCTTATAACTATCCTTTGCATGCCACAACTTATCCAGATGTTTTATAGCTGTTATTCATACCATTGATCTTTTAAGGACCACCTTCCTAGAGGAACAGCAAGCAGCACAACTCCCTCTCAAGGAACAGCTGGACCTTGCCACAATGGCTCATAAATATATGATAGATGGCCATAGACAAGAGTGCTTAAGTATTGCTATGTGGCTTCAACTAAGTTTTTTGCCATCTTCCTGCCCTTGATAAATTCAAAATTTATCAACCCCTTATCTTTATCCACACCAATTAGATGTCACCTTTTGTTTACGAGTGCCAACTTCAGTGAAGATCCATTTGGCCTTCCATTGATTTCTATTCTTTATTAACTATAGTTTATTAAGACAATGTTGCTCTGTAATACCACCCTCAATCCCTCCCTTTTTTTCCTGGCAGGAAGAATTTAAAGTAGAGTGTATTTTAGATTTTAAACAATGATGGGCCAATTTGGAATACTTAATTCAGTAGATTTATCCTGATAGATCTTGGGAAATTGCAACTAATATTCATGCATCCCGACCTGTGCATCTGTAGTAACCCTGTAAATGGAAACCCTTCAAACTGTCTTCATCTGGTTAATATATCAGACTGAAATATAGTCCTTGTTCTTGTCCCTACTTCCATCTTAGTCTTCTTTCTTAGGCTAAAACACTGCTTTACAAGAGTCAGGCAGCCATGCCTGCTTTTTCTGTATCTTCCCAGTGGAATTTGGGTTGAAAAGTCATCTAACCCCTCTCTGGACAGGAAAGAGTTGACAGAATCTTCTTTTTCATTCCCTAGTTAACAGGGGTGGGGAACAAGAGAAGGGAGTTGTGTGAGAGTTTCTGGACAAGCCAGGACAGGAATGGAAGAGAAACTACACTTAAGCAATCTAAAGAGAATGGACAAATCAAATGACAGGTTACCTCAGCGTAACTTAGCCCATGTGGAGATAAACTTGTGAAGCAGTGTTCCAGATCATTTAGAAACTCTGCTTTATGGATTTACTATTAATGAGGGCTTATGGATTTATTGTAAATGGGGATGGGAAATCCCTCTCACAGTTTCTAGGATTCTGTATCTACTCCTAACTATTTTAAAGAGATCATTCTGATAGTTTTTGCCTCTTGATCTTAATCAGCTGTGTAGAGATTGAAAAGGCTAGGCTATCTTGGTAATGCCAAAATCAGGCAGTGGAAGCAGTCTCCATTTTTCACTATAAAATGTCAAGTAGGATAGTTTGTATGCCAGTGAATCATGGCCCTACTTTTTCGATCAGTATGTCATTATTTCCTCATTTAAAGAAGTTATTACATAGTTATATACTTATTTGCAATAAATATGTGTCAGCATCACACTACATTTTGAACACAAGCATCTTAAAGATACATTAAAAAAGATATTAGGATTTAAAACAAATATTTTGGCTAATCTGTATGAATTTTTTCCTTCAGTTTTGATGATTTTCATTTTTTTCCAATGGAGATTCAATCTGCAAGTAGCAGGGAAATTCTCTTGGACTATGACATAATGGAGTAACATTTGGTAACCATGTCCATGCCACAATTATATCTTTTAGGTTTGAATATCACTTTGTGTTTTTAAAGATGCACTTAAAAATTGCCAATCTGAGACAAATCTCTTATATCCTGATAGCAGTTAGCAATTTATATTGGCAAGTAGTCTAATAGACTTCATTTTTTAAAAAAAAAAGTGAAAAAAGGTGGTATAGGAAAAAAAAAGTAACTTGAAATGTACATGAAATGACAGCAAAACAATGTAGTAGTAACCTTCAACATTCAATTCAATCTCTTTTATCCTTCTATCTGTTTAGATTCTCTTACCAATACCAAGCAAATCACTATAGACTATGCCTCAGACCAAACTTCAAAATATAATTTGCCATTACATGGAAGCAAATCTATCCCTTAAAAGGAGTTGGTCATATTGTACAGTGCTGTACTTTTCCAGGCATGTTGTTGAGCAACTGAAAAGAAGCCATGGAAAATTTTAACAAATAGGTATAAAACTGATCTAGGCATTTCCTCCCTGCTGGGTTAGGAAGAGGGTCAGAAGTGCATTTTCTTATGGGAAATGATGTCCACCTTATTAATTTCTTTTTCTTGTGCTCCTATTGTAGGGCAACCCTCTGTACTTCCAGTCTGCTCAAAATGTTACAGTGAACATTCTCAATGAGGAGAGTAAAGTTCTTACACGTCTGGTAACAGGTAAGGCAAGGGAAATATCTGAGGAAGAGAAAAAGGGAACCAAAAGAGCATGATGATGCGGGCATTAGCCCTTGGAATAATCATCAGTAACATACCTCCATCAATACAAGCCATGACCCCAGCTTGCCCTTGCATAACTGAAGAAAGAAAAACCCTGCATGTGAACTAAAGAAGCAGGCATGTTCAGGACACAGAGAATTCCCAGATCTAGAAACTAATGCTCCCTCATTCGAGCAGGACTTCAGAATAGAAATGTCATTTCTGATACCATTATAAATATTAATTAGTAAAGTGCCAGCTGTCTCAAGGATTTGGAACAGGCAGAAGACGATCCCTGAGTACTTTACATGTACCTGAAACAACTGGAACTTTCCTGATTAATATTCATAGCACAGAAGTCCTCCGTCTTTAAACGATTTCTAAAAATCTTTTAAAATCCCTCGTGAGGATGAGTACCATTTAGGTTCACAAAATGCTACACTCAATGTTTGACAGGGAAGTGGATGCTTCTGAAATTTCCCAGCAGACCTGTCACTTCTAAGCATGGTTAAGCTTTTATAGTAGAAGCAACAGCACTAAAAAATACAGCCCAGGATTGGGAGATGAGAACCATGCAACCACATATCATTCATTCTAGGTGAAATTGTTTTGTCTTCCAGACATCAGGGTAAGTAATTCAATAAAGAGCCTTGGTCAGCACTTGCTTTGGTTATATGGTTGGTGACTCATCTGCTGTTGGCAGGCAGAACATGAAGGGTTGCACCAACAGCTGAATAATAAAAAATAATAAAAGGAATCACAAACACCATGGAGGTATTGCTAATAGAAGACTTGTGCCATTTGCCAAAACTTCTGGAGTGTGAGAGGCTCTCAAAAAATGCAACTTTGCCTTTGAGAGTCATGAAAGGACATATTTAATCAAGAAAGGCAAAACAGAGGAAGCTACATCCAGTGTATTTGCATGCATGTTTTGTAGCTATGCAATCATTCTTCAGCATGGTTGTTTTTAAAAATAAATGCATTCCAGTTTTGTAAATAAGAAAAAAAATGTAAATAATGTAGGCATCCCCAATAGGAAGAAATTTGTGTTTTCTTACTCTTTGTATCTCCTCAAAGATGGATGGATTTGGTGGGGTCACACTGGGAACTTTGCCCAGTGTTTTCATAGCCAGACTCTTCTATTGTACTGGAGGACCCCCGAAACACAGTAGCTTTGCTTTGAGCTTTAGAAGCAGAAGTTCTCATTTTTCCATGCAACAGCTTCAAAGAAGAATTTCATCTGAAGTACTGACAAAACTCACTATCTTTTTCCAGCTTAGTACAGCTCTGTAACTATGTGCTCTGTGGGTTTTGTTAGATTTCAGTAGTTTGCTTTAAACATTCCAATTTGAGATTCTGCATCTTGGAAAAAATAGAGATTGACGGGAATCAACAGTGTAGATATTTTATAAATCTGAAAACTTCAGGTATTTTCTGTTACATGGGGGAAAGGATTTTGTTATAATTCCTTTAGATAAATTATAGACTGATATGAAAAAACATATATTTGAGTTTTGTTAAACAGAATCAAGAAGATTTATTTTAAGACAGTTCTATGCATGCCCATTAAAAACAATGCTAACTTAGAACTAAGTACAGCAATTTAAGTAAGACTAAAATTAAAAATGTAATGAGCTTTGTGGAGTAGTCATAGGAAAATAATTATATAATGGTGTCCATCTCTGTGGAGTGTGACGTTGGTTTGCACTGGGCTGTAAGTGGAAATTTAAAAAAGGACCATTTCTGAATTGACTCCTTTCATTCTGTACCCTTCTTTTCTACCCATAGGGTTTTCAAAGTAGCTAACAAGAAACAAGAAAATATAACCTAAAACTATTAGTATACCATTTTTAAAAATTACATGACTAGTACTTAAAAACGTTATCAACCAAAGGTAAAAGGCCAAGATAATTAAAAGATCAGAGATTTCTTTGGCAAAGGGTCAGGGTTAGAAGTGACACCATCACAAATAAAGAAAGCAGGAAGAACACCAAGTGTATCCATGCGATTAGTCAAACCTATCAGCATTTTAACCCTTTTAATCAGTGTAATTATTTAGTTAACACTAATTAGTGTTAACCCTTCTAATCAAGCTAACCTAACAAGTGCATGAAAATATACAGAGTCCCTCCTCCTTCAGGCCACCAATTCCATTTAATGGAATACCAAATCTACAATCTGCTTCTTTCATGGATACACTTGAGATTTTTTGAGACAGATCCTTGCTTGCCAAAGTGGATGTGTGACCATCTTTCTCAGGAAAGAAGCTTAGTGCAGTCCAATGTTGATATCAAGTTCATTTCAGGTTGTCAACTAAGGCAGTGGTCCCCTTTTTGGCATCAAGGAGGGGTGTCATGGAAGATAATTTTTCCATGGACCAGAGAGAGATGGTTCCAGTTTTGCTCTCTCACCCGCTGCTCATCTCCAGCTTTGCAGCCCAGTTCCTAACAGAGTCCATGGCCCAGGAGGAGGGAGAAGCCCTGGACTAAGGGATCTGCAAGGGAAGGCTTGTTCAGAATCTCTACTTTTGTACCATTCAACTACTATAACCTGCCACGAACGTGAGCAACCTATTAGCTAGTGCTTTGAACCATTAGGCCAGTCTGTCCTCACCTTTTAGACTTAGCTGGCTATTGTAAGAGATTTGATACAGTAGATGCTATTGTGAAAGGACATATATAAGCAGACAAAAATACGCACATGCAACACACACTCAGTGTTCTTAATATAATGCATAGCCAAGTTATTGGTGCTTGCTAACAAATACTCATTTTATTTGAAGTAAAAGCTAGATTTATTAAGAAATAGACAGGATTGTCTAAGTTATATCTTGAAGAGAAAGATAAGAGGGAATAAATTCTCTTTATTCCCTAAACATATAGACTCACTTAACTAACTATGTTGTTGTTATTGTTAATTGAGAAGTCATGTCTGACCCATCGCAACCCCATGGACAACTTTCCTCCAGGTCTTCCTGTCCTCTACCATCTTCTGGAGGCTTTTTAAGTTCACCCCTGATGTTTCAGTGACTCCATCCAGCCACCTCATTCTCTGTTGTCCCCTTCTTCTATTGCTCTCAATCTTTCCCAGCATTAGGCCCTTCTCCAGTGAGTCCTTCCTTCTCATTAGGTGGCCAAAGTATTTGAGTTTCAACTTCAGGATCTGGCCTTCTAAAGAGCAGTCGGGGTTGATCTCTTCTAGGACTGACCGGTTTGAACGCCTTGCAGTCCAAGGGACTAACAGGAGTCTTCTCCAGCACCATAGTTCAAAGGCCTCAATTCTTTGGCACTCAGCCTTTCTTACGGGACAGGTAAAAGATGGGCACAGGGACAGGGTAAGAAATCTTCCCCTTATTAATAGACAAAAGGCTCATACATGCAAAAAGACAAATATAGTCTTCAATAACTCTAGCACAGAGTAACCTAGCAGAGATTAATTCCTATCTCTTCCCTGAGAAGGATGATCACATCCACTCTGACAAGCAAGGATCTTTTTGAAAAAAATCTCGTGTATCAATGAAAGAAGCATCTCTTCCATCAGGCAAGAAGAGATTAGTCTACTTATTTGCATGTGCCTATGCTAATTTAAAAATTCATTTAACAAAGTTTTCATAATAATATCTTTGGCTATTAATTCTTGCTGCCTTTGTGAAATGGTGCTGCCCAGTAGTTACCTTCAACCCTGTCACATCTGATTTGAATAGTATGTAATAATATTCACTATAGTACAGTACTATATAATCATATTAAGATTTTGAATGTGAGTTATTTCATTATTTCCTAGCCTTGATCTTTGACTTTAACTTGTAAAAATCAGTTCCCAAATTATCCTGCAAGTGATGAACCACACAGAGTCTGCGATTACAGATAACTTTAAAAATTACAGTAATAACGGTAATATAATATACTATAATAATGTCCTAACCTTGCTCTTTTGGGAAATAATGGGATAGCAATGTTAACTGGAATATGTGTCAGTGAGGTATATTTGCAGTTGCAACAATACTACAGTACATAACCCTTTTCACTGTGGATTCCATTTTATTGAAGTAATGCCAAAATTAATCTAATTTCATTGTGGTAATCCAACACAAAATATATTAAAAGGATAAAAATACATTCATCTTTGGAAGTGCAAAATGCTAGTCAAGTAATTATCAATGTTAATATAATTCAACTGTACTAAAAGTATTTAATTGAAAACTATATTTAGAATGGAAGGAACTTTTCCCTCACTCCTAAATCTGTGTAGGTGGACCATGTTGTTGTGCTTGAATGAATTTGTTTCCTAATTTATTCCTTGAACTACACAGTTATGTTTTGTGTCAAATACCTTGTACTCCTTATGAACTTCATTCATACTTCATTATAACACAGCCTCCTTACATATTAATTGTTGACCAGAATTGTTGATATAGGCCCAGTGGTGGGATTCAGCCAGTTCGCACCAGTACGGCAGAACCGGTAGCTAATTTTTTGTTGCCCAGGCCCAGAATGGACTTCCGGAAGCAGCATCCACACAGAGAACCGGTTGTTCACATATTTGAATCCCACCACTGTATAGGGCATATCTGTAGAAGGAGAAGCCTAACTTATGATGTTGATATTGTTACAGATCAATTTTTGCAAAATGTATTCAAAGAAAGGCATGTATTATAGCATGTTTAAATATGATTTTCCTCCTGATTAAAGGGCAGCAATAGAACCTTAACAGGTATAGAAGTGATGCCCAACCTTATGTTGAATGAAGAGCAGCCTATGTTTTTTAGAAAATGGGAGCAGTCAGAAATTGTGTCAAAGAAATGGAGATTTGTGGAGAAGGGGTTTATTCAAAGTAGATTTATTAGAAATATAGGAGGCTTTTTTGAGGCTTAGTTTTCTGTTAGGAGAGAAGAATAAACTGCTGTTGAAAATCATCCTTTTTGCTGTATTTCAAATCTTTATAGGACATATTTTTCTTTTCTTCAATATAAATTGAGCTCAGGCTAAATGATATTTTCTATAATGTTGAAAGAAAAATGAAAATATTTAAAATGTTCTAGTCAATTAAGTGTGGCTAAAATTTCTTTGGCTAAAATGGTTGATGTTGAGAGAACTGGATGATAGATAGATAGATAGATAGATAGATAGATAGATAGATAGATAGATAGATAGATAGATAGATAGATAGATAGATAGATAGATAGATAGATAGATAGATAGATAGATAGATAGATAGATAGATAGATAGATAGATAGATGGGGATGGATGGATGGATGGATGGATGGATGGATAAACTTTCTTAAATAGAGCTCTGTTCAATATTTTCTCTTACTCAGAAATAAGGAAAAGAAATTACTTTAGCCAATTCCCACTGGAGCAACTCACACTCACTGAATGTGTTCTGTCACTGATTGATAAATTCGTCAAATATGTTATGGAAGGTAATTCTGGGGATTGCAAAATGTATCTTCCTACCAATGGCATTCAGTAACAAGAGAATTTGTGCCTCTTATTAAACAGCTACTTTAGTTAAGTGAATGAAATAGCTTACCTAAATCCAGTGAGAGAGGTATAGACAAGACATTTAAAATATCAGTGATAAATTCAGTTTTCTGTATGGTAAGCCCTTGTTATGAAATGTATCGCAAGCTTCCTCTTTATAACAGAGTATGAATAGACTATTTATTCAACTTATTTTTTATTTCTTGTTTTTATTTATCTATGATTGTTTTCGTGTTTTTGTAAGTCTCCTAGAGATGTGCAGGGGTGGATGGCATACGAGTATTGTAATAATTACACATATACTTTGAATTTCACCCTGAGTTTCTAAATGAGAATTTTATGCAAAGGAGATACAAGTTCTAGTCTTAATGGTATAGTCAGAGGTGAGCCGTGTTACTCTATGGCATCTATAATATGCTGCAAAAATACAATACAAAAATAGATTCCAGGCTACTCAGTCAGTCTTTTTCAGATTATCTCTACCAGACATTTTTCTTTTTTTCTTTTATGAGATACAGGGGAGCCAGTGCTTCATTTACCAGAAATGTTGAAGCTCCTGATTTATAATTTCATGGATTTTTAGTTTGTAATGACAACTTGATAATATTTTTGACAGTGTTCAAGTCAGTAACAAACAACAGAGTACTGATTTTTTTTAAAGAATACAAATGCAAAATACATGCTTAACTAATTTAAAGTAACATACTGTAAATATAATAGAATACAGGTAGGCATGTTTATCAGTATTTCAAGAAACATAATTTATTCAGGTTTATTAGCATAACTTATTCAATGAAGCTCTGTTCATTATTCTCAATAAAGATTGGTTATGTATAATTTCCAGGTTTAGATTAGTCATATAGACACTAAATTCTTTCTTTTATTTAGGTCCCAAAGCAGTGGAAGCCTACAGCCAAAAATTTCAAGTGCTAACCACTTCAGGGAAATTGTTATTTTCTGCAGATGATAACGAAGTGGTCGTTGGAGCAGAAAGGCTGAAAGTTTTAGGTAAACAATATTCATCTAAGCTTCTCTTATTATCAGCATATTGATTACTTTCAAAATAGTTTATGTATATGTTCTCTTTTACAGTCATTATGAAAGAATTTTCTCTCATGGCTTCGATAAAAATTGATCAGATGTTTTTGCGATTTCGTGACGTGTTCAGCTTTCTTTATTAAAGACTTTTAGGATAAGGATGTTGGGAAATCAGTCAGGGTGATCATCATCTTGTTCATGGCATATATTCCGAAACAGTGTTATGAAAGACAAATGTCTTTGCTTCTGATCTTTTCGCAAGCCGGTGTATGCAAGTAAGCCACGCCATTCCATCTAAACCCATTTCTAAATGGTTTTTATGCCTTAAAGCTTAAAAATGAAATGGCATTCTGTTTTCAGTAATGGAGGTAGCAATGCTGCACATTCCAATCTAATATTCTGCATTAAAGCCATTTGGTTTTGCCAGCATGTAGATCGCTTTAGAAGCTTGCAATTTATTTCATCTAGGTACACATCTAAGACTATTTAAATCACTTAAAATAATTTGGCTGTTCTACTAAATCTTGGGGCAAAATGGTAGTTAAGCCCCTGTAGGCTGTTTTATTATTATTATTTAGAGCCTGTTTCTTAAATGCTTATTTTAAGCCCATTTCCATTTGTGATCCCCAAACCATAGTACTTTCTCACTTAGGCAGTAGAAAATAGCATCAACGGTTGCCATTAGGTGATAAAATAGAATTCTGTTTTATATAAGTAGATGTCTGGTTATGAAATGGAATTTCCATTGTTTTTCTTCTTATCTATGTCTCTGCACATTCTTAAAATCCACTCTGGAGAATTGGAAGCCTTCTGGAGGATATTTAAGGGTATGAAGTCAGCTGCAGAATTTCACTTTCATTCAATTCGACTTCCACTTCCCACTCACAAAGTAATATTTTCAGTTCCTTCCCCTAATGTTTATAATGCAGGTATATTAGCAATCATATTTTTATGCTTTCAAATACCTTTCACAAAACAGCCCAATTATACATACTTTTGAAACTTCCAGAATCTCTTGTGAAATAATACAAATTGACGACAGCAACAAATACTTGTTTATTCTACTTTTGGTAAAGATTTTAACAACATTTGCATCAGCTGGTTTCACTCATGCCCCATAAACCAATAATTAGTTCCAGAGGGGGAATTATTATTTTAAGTATCTTTTCTAAGAGTTTTGTATAGATGTACATTTATTATTAAAAAGATTTATATTTTATAAACTTCAAAAAGCCAATAATCCAGGTTTTTTTAATTTATAGTTTCAGTGATGTGGTACTTAGGTTTGCAGCAAAATGTCCTCAACTTTTATTTTTCTCTCTTAAAAGAGACATCAAAGAAAAATGAGACAATGACATCAAAGCTGAGTTTATAACAGTTTTAATGCCCCCCTTGATATATGTTATACTTATTTCTTACATTGATTATAATCTAATTAGCTTAGAGTGGCATATGTCTACTAATAAGTTATTTCAGCATTGACAAAGTCCAGGTTCCTCTAGTATCTCTTTTCTGCATGATCAGTCTTCAGATACTCTTGTTATTCCCTCACATGTCCTAGTTACAAAAATAAATAAATAAAAAACTATAATCTGGCAGGAAAGTTGTTTTGGAGAGGTCAAAGCAGCAATGATTGGGTACATATTCTATTTTTAATCTGGCTAATGATAATTATTTCTTTTCCTTTGTACTTGTTCAAAGTTTGATCTGAAATTTACTCTTTAAAGCAGTTCTGGGGCCTTCAAGTAATAAAAGTAATAAGTCTCTTTTTTATTTGAATTCTTCACATCTTTTCCAGCATTAAAACTGATAGTTAGATTTTTGTAAAAAAAAAGGCATTAACTTATATTTTGTTTTGCAAACTATAGCCATGGTGAGCATAGAATATATTACAGTCTGTCCTTTTCATGAAGAAGAGAAGTTTGAGAGAAACATTTAAAGAGTAATTTATTTTTATTGGCATACTTTAAAACACTTGTCAGGCTCAAATTATCCTACCGTGAATATATTACGTGAAGATCCAACTCAGGGTAGAAAGTTCTAGGAAGGAAAGAGAAGAAGAGTTTGACCTGAAAGTTGGATGGACTTAGTTGTAGTAGCACTGTGTGCATCATTGGAAGTACTGAAGGACCAGATTAGGGACTGATCATCATGAAGAAAATCTATACATGTGGTAGGTAACAATTGACAATGACTTGATGGTACATAATCATCATTATAATCATTAAAGCATTTGTACATATATATATAGATAATAATAATAATAATAATAATAATAATAATAATAATAATAATAATAATAATAATAATAATAATAATAATAATAATAATAATAATAATAATAATAANTTCTAAGTTGCTTCTCTCCTTGATCAGTTTCCACCCGTTGCTTCTCGTCCTGCCTTTAGGCACCTTGGAGAATAGCTTGACTCCCTCTTCTTTGTGGCAGCCCCTGAGATATTGGAACACTGCTATCATGTCCCCCCTCATCCTTCTGTTCGTTAAACTAGACATACCCAATTCCAGCAACCGTTCATTATATGTTTTATAATGATTGGAAGCCTTTTCTTACTGTCAACCACTTAGGTAATTATGTATGTGTAATCCAGCATCAGCAACTTTTTCAGGACTCAGATATTGTCATGCTCAGCCCCTTGATGAAAATCTTGTGAGCTGAAAGGCATTTGTATTGATGTTTAAATTTTTCAAGACCTCATGTAGGAAATCAAAAATTTCATAAGATCTGCAGTTCTTGAAATATTCTTCTTTTACTATGTTTAATTTGAAACTAACTTTGATATGATTCTGGCAATGTTTAAGATAAAGATGAATGTTCTGGTACTACAAGGACCAGAACATTATAAGCTAGCTTAATAATTCTTGATTGTAGTTCCCAAAATTTTCAGCTGTTAAATTCCTCATTACCTATTTTAATTTTGGTGCTTTAGCAAAGCATGTATTTTATGACCAAGCTATAGACCAGGGGTCTTCAAACTTGGCCTTTTTATGACTTGTGGACTTCAACTCCCAGAATTCCTCAGCCAGCATGCCTGGCTGAGGAATTCTGGGAGTTGAAGTCCACAAGTCATAAAAGGGCCAAATTTGAAGACCCCTGCTATAGACTTTCCCAAACTGTTGTTGATAATGGTGGGGCAGCTCCTTTATGAAAATAGATGGCTTTAAACATTTGCCAGCATTGCATACAATTTGGACAGTGGACCAAAAGGCAAGATTTTGAAGAGATCTTATGCCCTTGTCAGGCTAGACTTCATCTGCTACATATCCGTTACGTTTATTGAAATATCTAATTAAAATAAAAATTTTGGTCCAAAATTTTAACTTGCTATATATTCATAAAAAGGTAGTAGAAGTTGATTAATTGATCATATACGTTAAAAGTATTTTTATTTTAAATTCTTTAATAAATGTTTACTATAAATTATTTTGTCTCAATGCAAATTTAGTTGCATTTTAGACATGTTTGGAGATTCAGCCACTGTGGTTTAAATCACTTTTATATCAATAAATCATTGGTCTCAAGGTAGAGAAATAAATGTGTGTTTAAGAAAGTAATTTAAATTATTGATCTGTCATTTTCTCAAAGAAAGAGAGATGAATTTACAAAATTAAATCTTTTATTGATTTGTACAGAGAAGTTTTTCAGATACATGCCTGAAATGTTTAGGAATATATTGCTTGACTGTTGATGTGTCATCAAGTCAGCATCAATTCATAGTAACCACATAGATCTGCTTCAGGATGTTTAAGGATATAGATATTGTGCTGGTATTTTCTGCCCCATTGGTTAAGGGTGCAATGGCAATTCTAAGCTGTAGAAGAGTTTTCATAAATCTATGCAGGTATTTCTGAGCAAGTATGTAAAATGAAACCCAGAGTTCTTAGTGGTCACTTAATTATACTTGTAAATCATTTTGTTGGTGATGTTGTTTTAGGATTATCCACTTATTTCTTTAAAAAAGAAACGAATTTATTTCTTCTATTGAAGCAACAACAGTTGTAGCTAAGTTATATTTTAATAAGAAAACATGGAAAATTATTTTTGATGTTCATTAATTTGTTACTTTAATGAAAATTAAATATTAGAGCACTTATAAATAAAGGGTAATCATAAAACATTATTCTGTTAATTAGTTCTTTTTATACTACAGATTAGTTTTAAATATGCCTTCTACATGCCACTTGGTCACTCATTACCAGTGTCATATTATTATCACTGCACAAAAGCATTTTAATGAAAGATAAAAAAATCTCTTTCTAATTTAAATTACTTTAAGAAAAGAAACTGCAATCAAATTAGCCTATAGGACAACAATAACAACAACTGACATGCAGTAATCACTGATTTCAAGCATAATGACATTGGAACCCTGATGAGAAGAATAAATATGCACACTGAGAAAGCTTGAAGTTTGATTATTGTGATGTTTGTCCAATCTGGTGTAATAAATCCCATAGCTGAAGAATCTGGTGTTGCTTCTTACTGAACATCAATTCTATACTAAGCAAATCGCACTTTAAACAGTAGGATTTTATCTAGAACTAGTGCAGTGAAGCCAAAATTTATTTGTTTCATCAATTATTTTTTGATCCATTGATCCTGAATGATTAATGCCTTGGAAATTTATAATGCCTTGATACGACCATACTTGGAATACTGCATCCAGTTTTGGTTGCCACGATGTAAAAAAGATGTTGAGACTCTAGAAAGAGTACAGAGAAGAGCAACAAAGATGATTAGGGGACTGGAGGTTGAAGCATATAAGGAACGGCTGCTGGAATTGGGTATGTCTAGTTTAGTGAAGAGAAGGACGAGGGGGGACATGATAGCAGTGTTCCAATATCTCAGGGGCTGCCACAAAGAAGAGGGAGTCAAGCTATTCTCCAAAGCACCTGTAGGCAAGACAAGAAGCAATGGATAGAAACTAATCAAGGACAAAAGCAACCTAGAA